TTTTGTTACCAAGGTAACCAGGCCCCGAGTGGGTCCTACGACCGCCTGACCTGAAGTGCTGGCGGAAGAATGTTTTCGCCAAAGCGGCCTCTGCTTCCCCGACGCTGTGTTCCCCTTCCCGTCTGGACTCAGAAGGAATCAATGCTGTTTGTTCCAAAATAAAGTATCTTCTACTTACCAGGGAAGCAGCTAATTTTTATTTACCTCTTTGCATCAGAAACTTTAAAGAAGCATAATAACTTCAATTGTCTGCAATTCTCTGCATTGCCAGCCACTCTTAGAAGTGAGGCATGTTGTAAAGAGATGTAAAGGCCGTGCAGAGCCAAACCGCTCAGTACGCAATTCTGGGTCATACACCTCCCACGTAATTTTTTTTTTTTCTGGTTGAGATTCCTTTAAGGGTTTTAATGGAAGATAATCAAATCCCTTTCTTATCGGCAGCTTTCCCATCTGTCGGTAACATCTGTAAGTCAAGGTTTTCTGACAATAATAGAAAATTGTGGGTGTTTTTCTTCCAGTTTTCTCCTGTTTCTAAAGAGGGTTTTGTTTGCTATATACCCTTTTCCAGGAAGAAGAAAAAAGAACGGTATGTGTATAGAGTTACTTTAACTACAGAAAAAGTCTTTCTTTGGCATGTTTACTATAAGAAAGACCGTGTAAAATAAAGTCTGCCCAGGATAAAAAGCAAATCCAGTTTAGATAACTAAGCAAGGTTTACACTTACCTGACATGAAATTCTCATCATTGCTATTGAAATAACTTTGCAAATATATATGAGAACTGTTCTTCCAAAAAACTTGAGAATTTCACAGATACATTTGAAAGAAACAAATTAGAACTTCTCAAAGTCTATGCAAGCCTTCTGCGTTTCACAGCCCCTAACACTTTTCTAAGGAAGGACCCAAAAGTACATCTCCATTCCTGGGCCCATCCCCTCAGCCTAAGGTAAGGCAGCCCTTTCTCACAGAGTCTGCCCTGGTGGGTCCTGTGACCCCACCCCTCCCCCAGCCCTTTGCTGACTGGACCCAAAGTCTGGGCCAGTCAGATGCCTCCTTTTTGGGCTAAGACCTAGGAAACAGAATCAGGGCACAGTGTGAGATGAAGCCACAGGACATACAGAAAAGCCACAAGTAAGAGTGGGGGCCACCAGGCTTATGAGAAAGTAGAAAAGCTAAAGACAAATGTAACAGGGATGAGGTGTATTAATGTATGCGTTTTCTAGCTTATTTCTTTCCTCCACCCTTACCCCTTCACTAAGGGAAATGCTTGCTGGGTACTCCCCTCTTTGGGCTGTTTTATTTCCCCACCAGTGAAAATCTAATTTGAATAATCTACTCGCTGGTTTCACCAGCTGCCTTAGCATCTTGCTAACACAGTGAACATCTGCATTTTATATCTAGAGAGTCTATTTGTAGGTGATAGACATTTTTAGCAGGACGCACACCTTGCCCACAGTGTGGTCCTATTTCAGTAAGTCCTCACTTAATTTGTTCTAAGCACTAGCCCCCAGCTAATCTCCAAGGCTCCATCACTCTGCTCTTCAGAAAAGTAAAACTGTTCTTTTCAAACTCATTACCACTGTTTCTTCCTCAGAACCCATCAAGGTAATCACTGCTTGGATCAGATTCAAATGGATACTTGGATTAGATTTTGATGCAATAAAATTCTTTCTCATAAGAATAAGCCCTTTATTGTGCTGTGGATATTGCGACAGAGGAAAAATTTAACAGCCAAGCATGTTGCTTCATCTGTAGACTAGCTTGACAGCTACTCCTACAGCTGATTCAGTACATACATGTGTGTACATGTGTGTGTATGAACATGTGTGTGTTCGGGGCCCAAGCGTTACTGCACAGCGGGGCAAAGCCACTGAGTCCATGTGTAGGAGTCCATTTTCATGAAGGTTTCTGAGGAAAAGACCATGGCTTTTCATTTCAGAAATGTGTCCTGCAGCTCTCAAACTGGCTAGGTGACACTGCACAAATGGGGCAGAAGCAGGTGGGGGCTGCAAATTTCTCCTATCAAGTGCCCTCCCACCCACCTTTTCAATGTGACTTTGCCACTTCTCTCGTCAAGTGTAGGAGTCTATTTCCCCAATCTTAGGGCCAGTGATCATAGAAGCTTTATCATAGAAGTGACATTTATGCAACTTCCGACCTTGGGTCTCGGGAAGGGAAACCACTTGGGACAGAGTTCACCTGTCCCTGCTCAGGTCATCTAAAATCACGAGCCTCTATCAGGCCACCAGATGAATGTAGTCTCATGAGTGACCCCAGGTGAGACCAGCAAAAGAAATGCCCAGTTTAGCCAATTGTTGACCCACTGAATTGTGAGCAAACAAAACAGTGGTCTCTGATCCACAACGTTTTGAGTAGTAGAACAGGTAAGAGTCACAGACACCATCTCTTTGTGCCTCCATTTTATCCTCTGTAAAATAGGGATAATAATATGTGTGTCACATGTAAGCTCTTTATGAAGAGTTTGGCATTCATTTCATTGTTGTTATTCCTCCTTCTCTTTGGTGCAGAGCACCTAGAATTGCCCAGATCCCAGCAAATCTGTGCCAGCAACATGGGAAGCTCAAAGGACAGCAGTCACAGAAATGATGTCACTATCTCACAGTGGCCCCGACCCCAGTGACCAAAGTGAGGTGCCCTCATGCACCTCTTCAGCCCATGAGCTAGACAGCAAGAATATCCAAAACTACTTGGTGGCATATAATAGGGGGAGGTTCTGTTGGGGTGAGGTGGGATGGGGAGTTTGGCACAAAGAAGTTAGGGACCTTGAGGTTCTGCATTACAAGAAGGGGCGCGGGCCATGGGACGGCTGTGTACTAATACTAATAACATTGCGCCTCCAGTCTTGGGTGACCTAGAAAGACACATGAGCCTTGCAAGGAATTCCAGAACCTCTATCAGCCCCAATGAGTGTTTTACCACTTAATTCTCCTCTGGGGATGTGTTACTGCTTCTGAGGCAAATGAAAGCAAGCACTCATCTATTTCTGAGCACAAATGAATGGCTGGAATTTTCTTAGTTTGACTACAGAAGGAAATACTTTCAGGGTAATTACTGAAGATTTCATTAACTAAAAATAACCTATAACTGGATATGATTATTTACCATTGTTTTAACAAATGTATATCATAAGTATTTAAGACATAACTAATACTATAATTACAGTCTTTTAAAAAAAACTCTAAAATCCTTATTAGCTATAAATCTATTCTACCCACAAATGTGTCTAACTTTTTAAATAGTAATTTTCACAGCTGTGAACACGTTTCTTTTCACTGGGTACCCACTAAGTGTCGGGTCCTTTACACAGGGATCGGCCATTCTCACAGTAGCCCTGTAAAGTGGATGTAGATTTTCCCAAGCTTACAGATGAAGAAGCCATGGCAAAGAGAAATTAAATAATTGTCTCAATATCAAACACTGTGTTTGCCAACCTGTACCAATTGCAGGTATTATTAAATGCATCTCAATTTCACAAGGAAACGTTTTTTTTTTAAATAATGTTAATGTTTTTTTCATACATGTATTGAAAGGGTCTTTCAAGTTTTAGAGATGGGAGGGTTTTGTAGGGAAATATGTACATATATGCTTCCTAGTGAAGTCGTCAGAACTGGATATGCGTTCATATTTTTGTTAAAATACAGCATGATGTAAAGCGGCATCTCTGTTGCATTTTCTGCTGTTCCCCCACCACTATGGGGCAGCAGCAGCACTGCTGGACAGCTTCTCTGCTTTGTCTGCAAACAGGGGCAGATATAATGCGGTTAATACAGCAGCTCATAAATGTTGGAGCAGGATTAGAACCAAGACTGTCTGACTCTCAAGTACATGTTCATTTTCACTGCACCAAACTGTTTCTCCTAGCATATCAAGACATGTTATCTTTTAAGGAGATTTCCATTAGTCCTTAATGATCTGAAGTCTTTCTTGTACACTGGGTGATGTATTTCTCAGAATCCCAGCCAAATTTCGTTTTGCATAGATTAAAAACAATAAACACTTGAGCACTTCCAAATCATTATCTGAAATCGTTAGTTTTAAGACAGGAAAAGAAACAAGAAGTTCAGCTCTGCTGAATCATTTTTAGAGACACAGACTGAGAGGGAACTGCTGAGATGAAGTTTTAGGACCACGTTCGCCGCCCCTCACTAACTCCTTAGCAGAGGGGAGATGGCAAACGTCCAGCACCAAGGACAGCAGCACGCAGGCTGGGCCACTGCGGACGATGTGGGCGAGGAGGGAAACGGCCACACCCACCCCAGACAGAAGAGGTGGACAGGACAAGCTATTCAGAACGCTGGTTCAGCTTGATCCCGAGTACCCTACTCAAGGGCTCAGGCCCCGTGGGAGGACACCAAAGATTTCAAAGACAACATAGGTTCCGGAGCTTCCAGTCCCCCTGGGGTTGAACTCGGTCCAGCAGACCTCAGTGGGCAGCTCTACCGAACATGTTTATCTGCCCTGCGTGCCTTCCTCCAGGAGCACTTCCTGTGAAGTGTGGGGCATCACCAAGCAGCAGCACGGTCGCTAACGGGGCCGCAAGCATTCCTACTGCAGTTGCTAGGCTGGCCTGTCACACTTCCAGATTCAGCCGGCTCGGAGACAATGAGGTTCATTACACAGACAGCAAAGCAAGATCGGTATGGTATCAGCTCTCTGTGTCCCTAGTCCCCTAGGAAGCCGCCAAACCCGAGGGGCCAGATGATCACAGTGAGGGCAACAGGTCACTCTGAGAGGAGGAACCCGCCATAAACGACAGCCGAGCGATTTTACAGATTTACACAAAAGCCGGTGGCTGGACCTTCAGTGGCAGCACAGTGGGAAGTCCTGTGCTCAGCTGAAGCCACACCAGGGAGACGGAGGAGAGACAGCCAGTCTCCCAGGAGACCGGGCAAGAACCCGCCTGGTGCTGGCTACTCACCGGCCTTTCCCCCTCTGCCAGGCAGGGTCGCCAGGCCTTCCGCTAAGGCTGTCAGACGGGGGTGAAGCCTATGGGGAGACCAGCATGGTGGAGCCGTCCCCCTGAATTTCCCCCTGGTGATTCTACTCAGGCCAAGTAATTCAGGAGGGGATGACCCAGACCACCCCACCGCCACCCTCCCACCAGCCTGGGGCACATGACTGAGGCCTGAGCAGAGGATTTCACAGCTAAGGCCACAATGACTGGCTCTATGGGTGAGAGAACAGGGACAAGCCGGCAGGAAGCCTCCAGAATTTTCCAGAGCTACCAGGAAGGAGCCTCTCTCTTTTCCTTCAGCCCCTGGTAATGGCTAATCTACTTTCTGTCCCTATGAATTTGCCTATTCTAGATATTCCATGGTGGAATCATAAAATTTGTCTTTTTGTATCTGGCTTATTTCACTTAGCATAATGCTTAATATCGTAACTTCTTTCTTTTCTATGGGTGAATGTTATTCTGTTGTGTATCTACATCACATTTTGCTTATCCATCCGTCTGTGGATAGTCACTTGAGTTGAGGTAGGGAGGTTTAAAGAACATGTGCGCCTCTAGCTCCGGGGAGCATTTCTCACACCACCTGAGAAGACAGCCCAGGAACGAAACCACAGGACAGAAAGAAGTGAGCCGAGCAGACATGGAGGACGGCAAAGCCTGGGCTCGCTGTTGGAGAGCTTAGATCCAGCCATGCCTGAAGCTAGCCCTAACCCTGAGCCCTGCAGTTCCACAAGGCAGAATACCCCCCGTCTTCCTGAGCTAGTTTATGTCGGCCTTCTCTGCTTGCAAGCAGGAATCCTAGCAAGCCGACCACTGGGTAAAGAACTGAGCTGGACTCTGGAGAAAGCAGATTTAAAAGGACATTCTTTCTATGCCACTGAGGCACACAGTGACATGTTTCAAACATTCTCATTGCTAAATCCTTTCTTACCCCGATTTTAACTGTAAAATGCACTTGTCCTATGTAGACAGACTCTTTATATAAATCCTTTCGCTGTTGCTGCCACCCTCCCACCTCTGGAGAAAATTCAGTAATTTTTTTGACCTATGGCATCTTTTCTTCTCAAAGTGTGTACATAACTGATTTTAGGGAACATCACCCAGGGGCTAGCCCCATGGGATAGCTTTTTGTTTTACTTCCAAACTACTGTTGCTGTTGGGCCTCCCTTTGATTTCTTTCTTCTTCTTCCTTTTTTTTTTTTTTTTACTATACGTCTCTGCTTTAATGAAAGTTTTCTTTGCCAATAATTTCTAACATTCCTGGTAAAACATTTTTTAAGCCCCCAATACTGTCGATTTTTTATTTGTTAACTTCACTATATTGAAAATTTCCCAGAAACCCTAAAGTTTCTGACATGTCATAGAAAATCATTATAGCAAGCATAAGTGAAAATGTCTAACCCCTAATCAAATAATAAAATAGAAGTTACAGTCTGTTCCCTCTGCTCTTCACTGGCCCAAAGAATTCAGATCTTTTCCCCAAATAACAGTTTGCCAACTTCTTTCATAGCCCATTTCACAATGTGCCAGCTCGAAATCTCTATATAAACTCACCTAAATCTTTCATGCTGTGTACAGTGACTGCTCTTTCTTTTCCTCCCTCTCCCACTCCGGTTCCTCCTCCTAGGAAAATCCTTATTTTTTATTTTTTTTATATGAAAACTTATGCAAACTCTATCTGCTCAAAAGAGAGAAGGGACCTGCTCTGATGAAGCCTGGGCCACGCTGCCCGTCTCCCACCCTCCCCAGGCACTAGACTCTGGGCAAAACCTTGTTATGGGGTGTGCTAATTTAGAACTAGGCTTCTATTCTCCAGGCGAGAGAATAGTTCTTTTTGCCTTCCTTTGTACATCTTATATCCCCATCTTGTCATCATTTTTGAGTTTTTTCCATATCCATCTTGAAAGACTCCAAAATGAGAAAGGGCTTCAGTAAACGTGTAATTGGCAGCGTACAATGAAAGAATTGTTTCAGCGTTCTACGTTGGACTCCATTTGTGCAACCTACTTCTGCATTTTACAAGCATTCTGACTTCAGTACCTGTTTATAAAAAAATATAATAACAATATTTCACTGGTATATGTGGCAGGCACACTGCTATTTGAGCACTTGACATCCATTATTTCTTTTAACCTTCATTACAGCCCAAGCCTCAGTGCTGTCAGCATTCGCACGACATCAGTGGTTCTCAACCTTGGCTGCAAATGATCTTTTCTTCTGAGAATCTGATAGCTGGGTATCACACTCAGACGAATTAATGCAGAATCTCTAGGGGTAGGAACCAGGCATGGTTTTGAAAACTTCCCAGGTGATTCGCGGGTGCTGCCACGAGCCACGATCGAGCATCATGGCCCTACGAGGAATTTTCATATCAGCTGCAGAGAACATGAATTTTACATTTTCTTACCCAAGAGTCGTCTTCAGGTGAGTGTGGTAAGTGTGTGTGGATGCGTGCGTCTCCCAGTGACACCACCAATACTTGGGGCATTTTTGGAATTCCTTTTTTGGGATTGCTTTAGCCAGTTTGCCAGCCACCAGTAGAAAATTCTTTTCACTGCCCTCGGCGGGATTGCAAGGGACATGGGGATATCATCGCGTCCCCTGGCTGTGACCACACCCACAGCAGGATGGAGGTGGGCTCAGAGTCTGGGGGGGTTCCTACCAGGCCGTCATCCACCCTTCTCCCACACACTCCCCATCTCATGCTATTGATGCTGAGGGCCAGGAGGAGGCTGGGGTTTGAGCTGGCTTTCTGCCTCCTTCTGGGAGGTCGTCAGAATGTACCCCCCGCAACCCCGCGCCTGAAGTTCACATTACCTCAGTCGGCCTCAGTCCCATGCTGCTGGACCCCCCCTACCCCGGACCTGAACAATCTGGGCTCTGACACATCCTCCAATCTTATTCAAGACCCCACTCACCACACTTCCACTGTGTCCCCACTGTGCAGTCTAGAACCCCTGCTTTTCTTCAGATGCTTCCTTTTCTTTTCTTCAAATGCTTCCTTCCCTTTCTTGCTCTGACACCTGTCTATTCCACAAAGACACAACTTTCTCCACACCTATGATAGCCCATGCACACAGCAGATGCCCGGAAATACCGAATGTAAGAGCCACTTGGAGGACTACTAATAATAGTGTAGAGTAGCGGTTCTCAACCTTCCTAATGCTGCGACCCCTTAATACAGTTCCTCATGTTGTGGTGACCCCCAATCATAAAATTATTTTCGTTGCTACTCTATAACTGTAATTTTGCTACTGTCATGAATCGTAATGTAAATATCTTTTTGTTTTCCGATGGTCTTAGGCGACCCCTGTGAAAGGGTCGTTCGACCCCCCAAAGGGGTCGTGACCCACAGGTTGAGAACTGCTGGTGTAGAGCCTGGGCTGAGGGGACAGTGTTGGATGCTGATAAGATATCCACATGCAAATAAATGCCTCGTCTTCAGATCAGGGAGAGACTGTGGCCTCCAATAATGATTAGACACTGATTTCAGAATCATCAGCAAAGAGGTGAGAGTCCTGCCTGCAGCCTTGAATGAGACTGCAGAAATGAATGAGGAGAGAGAAGAGATTGCATACTAGTCTTCGGAGGGTACCCTCTTAAAAGTAACCAGAAGTGTGAGAACCATCAAAGGCAGAGCATAAAGAAAGAGATGGAGACATGAAGAAAGAAGGAAAAGAGATGTTTATGGAATCCTCGAGAAGGGAGCGAAGTGTCTGGAGTGTTTTCAGAAACTTAACCTATGGTTACTGAATTGACCTAGAAAAAACAAAGCATGTTCTGTCAGTGAATTTGGAGGAACTGCTAGATATTGTGAAGAAAGAGATAAAAGAAGGAGGAGCAGCCTGCAGAAGGACAGAGGAATTCCACGGAACAAGGGCACGATGGGCAAGTCCACTGCTGGAGTCGGACCAAGTAGATCAGAGGGCAGACGGGCACAGAGCGTCCGGGCCGGACTCGCAACTGCGCTGGGAACACAGCGCCCTCCTCACATGAGTGATAAAAGTCATAAGCAAATGCTATTCATTATTCTTGGGGCAAAGAGCCCCTCTCCTGCTAGCTCCATACTGAAGCAAGTTCTGGGGGGTAGTGTGGAAGGGAGCCCGCCGGTGGGCCACAGGTAGAGATTAGGCCGGCAACACAGGTGTGTAAAAGCGCCTGTGAGGCAGCTGGCCTCCGTGCGGGGCAACTTAGCTGCTGGGGACCCTTTATCTCCTTGTGGAAAAGCTAAATGTTTATGATACACTTGGTTTCCCCTGGTGCCATCACGGTACAAAAGGAAGCCCAATTTCTTCGCTGAGCAGGAAGCTGGAAACCAACGGTCTCGGTTTTTGGGTTTTTTTAAAGGCCTAATTTGTAGCTGCCGATTTCCACGGTGCGAACTCCCACACGACGTATTTCAGGCCCGCAGCACGATGTCCCTGAACGAGGAACTGTGCAGGGAGACAGTGCGCGGCGGGCTCTGCCAGTCGGTGCGAGCTGGCTACAGAGTCAGATGGAACTAGTCTGACTAGTCAGTGGTCTGGGGCTGGCACGGGTCATTTCTAGAAGCCTCTCAGGACAGTCTGTGCAGCCAGGTCTGAGAACCATTACTGACAGCTGTGCGTATCAGGCTTTCGTGTTGGGGGGACCCTGTCGAAGCACAGGCTCTGACTCATGGTGCTGTTGGTCCCTAGCAAGGCAGGTGAGTGGCCCCAAAAAAGGAGGAAAAAAGCAAGTCATATGGTCATTCTCAGCCCGGCCATTGTCAGAAATGTCCGAATCGTTGAGAGAGACACTTTGTTGGGAAGTCACCAACGAGGTCCATGACTTATTTATGGACAAACTCAGAGAAGTTTGCTTTCACCCAACCGCACTGTACTTTTAAAATGTGAATTAAATGCCAACCTCATGAAAATCTGTATTCCTCTAATCCCTGGAAAAGATAATAACAGCAATAACAATGACAAAAGAAGTGACAGTACTGGGCACACCCCCACCTGCGGCAGTCCTGCCCCGGAGTCCTCCTGCGACTGGTGCCTCCCAGGGGTCTCCCACCTGCTCTGTTTATGCTCCCTGCCTCCCTGAAGGAATTTGAGGGGAATTCATATTTTAGGTTTTATCTAACTTTTAAAGTACTTTTCCTTTCCCCGATGCATGAACCTACCTTTCTGTCTCACTTCCCACCATTCCTCACATATAAACAGTATATACTTGAAATGCCTTACACGATGTTCTTAAAATGAGTCATCTTCTTTCTCTCCTCCAAACTGTGGGTTGACCCCTGTTCCTGGAACACACTCCGTCATCCTGTCTCTGCTGGAAATGATCTGAATCATTCTTCACGATCCAGCTTGAACACCCCACCCTGGTGAAGCCTTTTGCACCATTCACGCTCCCACACCAGGTGGTTTCTCTCCCATCAAGTCCTACTGTTGCTCATTTTGCGGGTATTCCCTACTCTCTGAGGCCCACAAAGGCATAGATGAGCTTTATTCATTTTTGGATTCCCAACGTAGAATGCTTTTCCATAAAGGAGATCCTCAGTGGCTTCCTGAAATAAGGAACCGCAAATTCATTTTCAACTCACACTACATTGCCTTGAACTTTCTTTTGTTAATTTATTGAGGCAGATTTGCAATTATTTTCGGATCCTATAAAGTACAGGCTAATTCCCTTTGCATCACTATCTCCAGTACCTCTGCAAGCTCTCCCCTCTCCGCCGAACTTCAATTTTGGTGTTGCCTACCCGACTTATATATAAGACTATTTATTCTATAAATATGGTTCCAGATAAAAACACAGGCCATCTCTAATTAAACACTCCTTAACAGAATTAATAGCTTTCATTTTCATGGAATGACCCATTTTTTTTCAAAGCACTTTTACTAACATAGTCTATCCTCACACTAACCCTGTAAAATGCATAAGCAATGCATTACCCTTTTTCAGCATTTAGAAGCTAAAGTGAAATGTCTGTCCTCCATGAACTAGGAAGCAAGGAAACAAAGTTTGAGAAAAACCTCTGCAGTGCCCACCTGAGTCCTCGGGCAGCACAGCCCACCATGCACGGCCAGGGGCTAAAGATACGTGTCTTTCTGCTTCCAAGCTTCTAGAATCCCTAATATTTTATTGAAAACCTGAGGTCCAGACATGTTGAATTAACATGTATTAGAGCCAAAGTAGGAATCCCGGTCTTTTGATTTCCAGCTTAAGATCCCCCTTTACTTAATGATGTTTTCCTTTAAATATGGAGCTATAATCATCCAGCAATATAAGTATGCTTCCTAAATCTGTCTTCACAAATATTTAGAAATAATTCCTGTGCCTTTTCCTCAAAAAATAAGTTACATAGGATGATCAAAAGTTTTCCCATAAATTTTATGGACTTGGTGGCACTGGGCAACTGTAAAATGCCTGAGTACAATGATTGCATCAGCACGCATGAGAAAGTTTACAATCCATAAATCAATTTACACCTCTCTGCATGATGTGTCACTTTCAAGTCAATGCTATGTACACTAATGTTTTATGCGTTTGGGGAAATATTTACATTATAGAAGAGCTGTGAATCAAAGGTTTTAGCATCCTGACCCACTAATAATAAACCCAGTGCAGATTACTGGGCGGAAATGTAATGACAGGGAGATAAACTGAAGATCTCAGATTGGTAATGGCGGGATGAAAGAAGCACTTTCTATGACATTAAACGGAATTAGTAAAGAGGAGGGAAGGGCAGGGTTTGGAGGCATAATGATCCCTTTTTCTCAGATTTTCTCTATATTGCCAACCACTTTCTAAGAATTTTGATGTGGCCACAAGAACACACCCACCCATGAAAGTGCAGGTACCCCCATGCGTCTTCCCCAAAGTACACGGCAGGCAGTGGTGAGATTACATTGTACTCCAGTTTATGGGTGACGGGGACAAGCTCTCTCGCTGTCTGTGGAAGGACTGGGTCATTTGGGGAAGAGCAGTGTCTGTTCTCTCCAACCGCCTGCCACCCAGTCACTAACTCAGTGACTCCAAGTGTCTTCCCTCCGGCCCTGCTCGCCTTCCAAGGAAGGAAGGAGAAATTACTCTCCTCTTTGCCAGTCAGGAGGGCAAGTTCTTTCTGATTCCTTCTCCCTGCGTGACGCTGTTACCCAATTTTTTAAAAGGACGGGTCCAAGACATTTTTTTTCTGCAAATGTATTATATGTGTTTTTGAAAAGTTTTAAGTCCATGCATGTGCCTGGACTACAGATAACTGGAAGCCTCGCCTGCACCTGGGGCGTGAGCCTGGCCCTGGAGGCAGTGAAGGGGACGTTGGGGCTTTTATGGGCTGAAATATTTCTTGCCTCACTTTTATATAAAAATAGAAAAACATCCTGGTAATTACGGGAAAGGGAGCTGAAATCACGAGCGCGGCGCGACTCCCCCCCGCTGACCGGGCCCCGGAGCTTTCCCGAGCTTCTCCGAGAAGAACCGCAAGCGGCCAAGAACTTCTCTCCCCGTGAGCGCGGGCGAGGAAGCGCTCGGGGCGCCGGGCGCCTCGGCGGGAGAAGGGGCATCGGGAAGCCGGGAGCGGGGTGCGAGGAGGGCTGGGGGCGCTCCGGGGGGCCCCGGGGGTGGGCGCACTCACCCCCCAGCCAGTTGTCCCAGATGTTCTGCAGCATGGTCACCGGGATGCAGAAGAAGGTGATGAGCAGGTCGCTGAGCGCCAGCGAGCCGATGAAGACGTTGGTGGCGGTGCGCATGGCCTTGCTGCGGGCCACCACGTAGACCACCAGCGCGTTGCCGAAGAGCGCCAGCGCGAAGAGGAGCCCGCCGGCCAGCGCGAAGGCCAGCTTGGCGCGCGCGGGCAGCTCAGGCGCCGACACCAGCGGCCGCAGCCCGTACAGCGCGATGAACTGCTCCCGCGTCAGGTTGTGCTCCCGCAGCAGCCGGGACAGCCGCGCCGGGGTGATGTTCAGAGGCTGCATGGCGCCCCGCGCCACGGGGGCGACCCGGGCTCCGGCTCGGGCGCGGGCAGCGGAAGCGGCCGCGGCGCGGAGCCGACAAACCCGCGCCCAAGACGCGCGGGGAGCCGCACCCCGGGGCCGCCCCGCGGACCGGACGCCCGCGACGCCGAGCAAGTGCGGCTCCTCCGCCCGCAGGGCCGGCTCCCCGGGCTCTGCCCCGCGCCGCGAGGGTGGGCTGCGCTCCACGCGAGACGCGCCTCCCGCGCGGCGCCACCTGGATCGCGCTCTCGCCCCAGGTCGTGCGGACGCGCGAAACCGAGCAGGGGGCTTGTCCGCCGTCTCTCGGCTTCTCCTCTTACGCAATAACGTGAGCCACTTTTCTGTGATTTAAAAATTAATTGTAACGCTCAGGAAATTGCAAAGATAGTACAGCGCGGTCCCGCGGTCCCTCGCCTAGTCTCCCACTGAGTCCATCTTCACCGCAGTGTAATGCAAAGCCGGGAACTTGACCTGGTACAGTGTGCGGGTGGGTGGGTGTGGGGTGGGGGGGGGCTGTGTCATTTGATCCCAGGGGCTGATTCCGTCACCACCACCAAAATCAAGGTAAAAACTCTCTATCGCCACCGTCTCCAGCCTGCTACCCCTTAACAGTCACCCCCCACCGCTAAACCCTGCCAATCCCTAATCTGTCTTCCGTCCCCATACTGTTGACAGGCGGTTATATAAATGGAATCATACAGTAAATAACCATTGGATGTTGGGTTTTTTGCACTCCGCATGACTCCCTTCAGATCCACCCAAGAGCTTAGGTACAGCAGCAGTTCCTTTTCTGCTGAGGACGAGACGCAGTTGGTTCAGCCATGCACAGCTCAGACGCGATGGTTATCTCCAGTTTGGGGATAACACAACGCTGCTAAGAAGAATCACGTCCAGGTTTTCATGTGCACATATATTTTCATTTCTCTGGGACATGCCAAGAAGTTTGGTGGTTGAGTCTATGGTTTGTTTATTGAGGTTTTTAGGAAGCCGTCAAGCTGCTCCCCAGCGTGGTTGCACCATTTCACATTTCCACCAGCCATGTATGAGGCTCTGTTCCTCCCGGTCCTTGCAGCATTTGGTAATGTCACTGCTTTGTTCTGTTTGGGTTTTTAGAAAGTAAGTGTGTAGTGATACCTCACGGAGCCTTAACTTCCATTTCCCTAAGAGCTAAGATGTTGACCACCTTCTCATGTGCTCATTGGCCATTCCAGATGTCTTTCCATGTATTTTGCCCATTTTCTAATTGAATTGTTTGGTTTATATGCTGTTGAGTTTTGAGGGGTTTTATATGCCAGATACCAAGTCCTTTAAGTGGTTTGCAAATATTTTCTTCTGTTACCTTGTTATTTATCCTCTTAAAGTATTTCTCACAGATCAAAGTTTCTAATTTCAATGAAGTCCTATATATCAGTTTTTCCTTTTATTGATTATACTTTTGATGTCCAGTCTAACTCTTCAGCAAATCCTACGTTCCCCAAATTTTCTCCTGTGTCTTTTTCTAAAGTTTTGTGGTTTTACATTTGACGTTTTGATCTCTCTATTCCGTTCCATTGATCTGTGTGTCTGTTTGTCCTCCAATACCACTCAGCATTGTAAGTCTTGAAATCAGGTAGAGAGATTTCTCCTACTTTAGTCTCCTTTTTCAAAGTTATTTTAGATATTCTAGGGCCTGTGCCTATTTGGATAAACCTTATAATAAAAGTTTATATGTCTACAAAAAGCCTTGCTGGGATTTTGATAGGAATAGACATTTTCACTATGTTGAGTCTTCCAATCTGTGCATATATTCACCATAGGTTGAGATCTTTGATTTCTTTCATCAGCATTTTGTAGTTTTCAGCACACAAGTCCTGTATGTTTTGTTAGATCTGCACTTACTAAGTGTTACCTTTTTTTTTTTAGCATGTATGCATGGTATTGTATCTCTAATTTTCAGGTCCACATGTTCACTGCTAGTATGTAGAAATGTGATTTATTTTGTATGTTGATCTTGAAACCTACAATGTTGCAGAATTCACTTATTAGTTTTAAGAGGAGTTTGGCATTTTGTTGTTGTTGTTGTAGATTTCTTGGGATTTTCTACATAGACGATCATGTCATTTGAGAAGAGGGCAGTTGCATGCCACAGCCCTGCCTGTGAGAGGCCCTACCTGGTGGACAGAGCACTGTGGCATGCACTCACGGGCACAGAGCACAGCTCAGCTTGGGGCAGCACGTTATCTTATCCAGGGGTCAGCAACCCACAGCCTGGCCAAAAATGATCCACTCCTTGTTTCTGTACAGCCAGGGAGCAAAGAATGGCTTCTACATTTTCAAATGGTTGAAGAATAATCATAAGAAGGCTATGCTGTGTGACATACGGAAATTGGGTGAAATTCAAATTTCAGTGTCTATGAAAATAAGCTGGATTGGAACAGCATCATGCTCATTTGTTTACATGGTGTTATGACTGCTTGGACGCTGCAATGGCAGAGTTGTATGTTGGCAACAGACGCTGTGTGACCCTCAAAGCAGAAAATATTTACTATCTGATCCCGTGCAGAAAAAGCTTGCCAACCCCTGACCTATTTGGAGAAGCAGAATGGACCCAAATATCCACAGACCAAAGCAGGGTGGTAAGTGCCACTTCCATACACAGAAAAGACATGTTCTAGAAATGCAAGCAAAGACAGATCCACAAATGCTGCGTAGAGAAAGCAGAGCATGACTCGGGCCTCAAAGGAAGGGTAGAGGTGAAAAAAAGGCCACTTATCTCACATGGAGGCACAGAGGTCGCAACGACTGTGCTAGGAATGCTGGGAAATACAAAGTGGGGAAGACAGGATTGGCTTCTGATACTTGTTGTCCACACTTGTGATTACAGGACAGCAGGGAGAGAGCGTCGCTTTTCCAAAAGAAACAAGCCAAGTGAGTGAAGAAGCACTGGGGAGCTCGCCATCCTGGAGGGTAGCAATATGGGACAAAGTGTTCGGATAAACATCAAAGAAGAGGCAAGCGGTACTCTTACGGGAATGCTCTAGAGTTTATCTTGCCAGTCAGAGTGCGTAATAATCAAGTCTTCCTTAGAAAAGATGACAAGGGGTTAACTAGACATTGGCTGGAGGTGTAAGGAATCTAAGCATAATAAGTGGTAAATGTTTTGGTCACTCAGAGGAAGGAGTATCTGGTAGAACTGGTATTCTGTTTTTAATTCTGAACAGCGTGGAAAGAGCTGATGGTGCAGTGGGAGAGACAGGAAATTTGAGAAGATGGTTGGCAACTCTGAGTGTGAGCTGAGGTCAGACATGGTACCTACAGTCAGACAGGCATGTTCAACTTCAAGAAAGCAAGGTGGTGATGTTTAGAAAAGGCCACATCATCTCTTGGCCTGAGTTTCTAAAACAGAAGCTGGCAAAAGAGGGTTGGAAAGCTCTAAAATTTAAATTTCTCACACACAGTAGGCGAGTCTCATAAACAGAAGAGACAGAAAGAAGCAGGCAGAGATACCATAAGGACGCACAGAATCGCTCCACATCCACGTTCACGGCAGTGTATTCACAGCAGCCGAAAGGCAGCAACGACTCATGTCCATCGCGGATGACTGAACAAAATGGGGTCTGTCCACACCATGGTATATACTCAGCCTTAAAAAGGAAGGAAATGCTGACACAGGCTACAACATGGATGCGCCTTGAGGACACCTTGCTCAGTGAAACAAACCAGGCACAGCAAGACATACACAGGATGGTTCCTAGCGTTTTTATGAGAAACACTGAAGTACATGAACGTGGTGTCTTTAATCGCAAGGGACATTAATCACACACAGTCATTCGTCATGGCAAACTGGATGCAAGCTGATGGCAAAATTCATGTCGCAGTTCTATGACATGATCTGTAAGAAGAGCCACAATAATAGAGTGTAAAATGCAGGCGTGCTGCTTTCCAGTGATTTGACTTGGTAAGAGAGGCTTAGGGAAGATAGAACCACTTACATCCCCAAAATGACCAGCCCCGAACCCCAAGGGTCTTTGGCAGTCTTTGAGCAGGAGCTGTATAGGAAGTGGCTCTAAACTGAGATAAATGAGGGCATTTCCGCTGGTGCTGTGTGTTCTGGACACAGCGTGTCCACCAGCTAGTTCAGGGACTCAGCTGCACTGTCTACTGTCCAGCGGACCCTCCAGGTCAGACCAGGTCAGCAACAGATGGTGGCACCGCAAAGAAGGAGGACTAGCTTAACCAACGTGCCTGAAGAGCCACCACTGAAAATCTTTAAAAATTCAGAAGACAAGAAAAACAGTGTAGACTAGACATGGGCTAATTCTCAATTTCCTCAAGATGGAACATGGGGGCCAGCGCCAGTAAAATTCTAGAGTGACTCCATAAAGAAAGGGAGATTTTCAGCACAGGTTTTTAGTAAGAACAAGTTTTGTCACAGCACTACATTTTTAAAAAGTGTTGCTAGAGGGCCGGCCGAGTGGCGCGATGGTTAAGAACTGGCTTGGGACGCCAGAGGGCCCCGGTTTGGATCCCACATATGAGGGCCAGTGACACTGCCTTCCACAGCTAAGATGCTGAACAACAGCTC